TAAAGTGTGTTTAAATGTGTAACACAAATAGAAGGACTTCCTTTGGTTTAAGCATTTTTTTTAAATTATTTGTTAAATGAGCTAATGTTTTGTCACAACATCCTTACTGAGACAAAACATGTGATTGCTTAATTCTAGGTGACATGTTATTTAATTCCCTTTAATTCTATTTGTCATATGTGAAAAGTCTTTTGGCTCTGGTCTCTTCGGACTGTAATTAGTTCCAGCTGTGATCCCACCTGTTTCCCATGCTCTTGTTGACCTGTGTTGACCCCTGCTGTTTTTAACTTAAAGTCCTAGTTTGAAACCTGCAAGAGTTGCAGGTAGTATATTTATACAGCAAAGGTCACAGTGGTATAAGCATGCTATGTAAAAGATGACAAATGTACAAAATGTGTTGTATTTATAACTAGATGAGGTGTACCTCTTCCTGTATAGACAGAGGTATACTTCAAATAGATCTGTGTGCATGTGTGCATTTGCTCAGCATAAGGAGGAGGCAGAGTAAAGTGCATGACTGCTATGAAACAACCTACTTTATTATGGTCAGGACAGGAACTTCATAATTTGAAATTTCCTCCCAATACATCAGTCATAAAGTCAACTATTTGTGTCCTAGATGTTGTTAAAGCCAAATTAAAGCCATACAACTATGACAAAATTACGTGTTACCTAAAACCCTGCATCTTCAAATACCAGTATCTGTATTGTAGGGCAATACTGACCTTGCTATATCATGATTGTGTTCAGTATTTACAATCAGCTTAATGAAAGATGTAATAAATAGGTCCAATAAATATATTATGAATACAAAAGTATTCTCTTTATCACAGTAATGTGGAGGAGGATACTATGTTATCTCTTCTGTGATTCATATTAATGATCTATGAATATTAATTTATGTTGGGTTTAAGTCAACCCTGCTGGTAAACAGAACCTGTTACTGAAAGCAACCACACAGACACCAGTGTACATTTTACTTGCAAGGGGAGCGTTGGAGAGCAGTGATGCGACTCGCCTGTCCAAGCAACTCCAATTCCTCTGCGTCCGCCTCACTCTTATTGACAACGGAGGTTACACATAATTCAGTTAACCACGTGACAGTTTTAAGCAGACATATCTGAACAACATCAGTGTCTGTATTCTGTGTGTTTCCAGCTATACCATACATAGACATACAACCTTTCGATTAATTTAAACTGTGTGTATGAGGTATGCAGAAAAGCAGAAGTAAGCGTCTTGCTAAACTATAAAAACAGAAACTTGCAATAGGTAACATTTAAAGGTGTGAGGTCTTGCACTTTAAGAAATAGAACAGTAAAATCTGCAAAATCTTCATGCATTTTGAACATTTTGTACATTGAAAGACCTTGTTCAATAGCACACTGTTTTGTAACATCCAAAACTCTTGTGTTTTATTAAAACCAGGTTCTGGTGGTTAATTCTTGCCTCTTTTTGGTTAAACTATCTTCCTTTCCTTTCTTTTTTTTTTTTTTTTTTGTGGCTTACCAATATTATGCAAACTCTATTCCTACTTCTAAGGTGTGAAACCCATGACACACCAACAAATGGTTTACTCTGGGCAGATGTGTAAAACCTGCCATAAAAATGTAAGTCATCCCTTTACTGATGAATAGCAAATTGAGTCGGGGCCTAAGAAAGAGCCCTGGGGAACACTAGGGACGACTGGGGAAGCTTGTGATGTGAGATGTTTTAACTGTACATACCTGATTACAATCTGAGATTACAATCTACAACATGACATGCAAAGTTCCTTATTTAAAAGAATATCATGATAGACCATATCAAAGGCAGAGCTCAGATCAAGGAGCATATGGTTAACAGCCCAGTGTCAGCTGCCAACAGAAGATCATTTGTGATTTTGACCATGCCTACCCCTGCTCTATGAAGTGGATGAAAACCAGATTGAAATTATTCAAAAAGATGATTGCTAATAAGTTGAAGTTAGATCTAAAAAACAAGAGTTATTTCCCAAATCTTTTGAAAAAAAGGTAAATTAGCATATGGACAATAATTATTTAAAAGGGTCTGTATGGGGTTTCCTAAGAGTTGGCATTATCATTGCTTTAAGCAGTGCAGGAAAAAGCCAGATATTAGGGAAGAGTGAATAATATCAGCTAAAGACAGAGAGAAGATAAACAGGATTTAGCCACTTGAGTGAGAAATAGGTCTTTATTAAGATTTCTTAATAAATCCAGATATTTCCCCAACAGTCAGGAGGAAAGCGTCCTAGTATTCCTTTGAGCAGACCTGATGAGTGTTGTATAATATTCAAATTAAGGTGTAGACAGGGCATCCTTATTGTGGTGCATGTGTTCCTGATACATGAACCAGGGAACATAGTGGATGAAAGAGAGTCTGACAGTTCTGTGAATTTTCAAAGGAGTGAAGTCCATAATTGTATTAAGACACCAGTTTATCAGGAGTACATAAATTATCTCTTCTAGGCAGACTGTCAGTTACATGGGAGAAAGTAGTTATGTCAATGTACTTAATACTTCAATATGAGAGAGTGAAAAGAGTTTGACTTGAATATACAGTTCTTAGGAGCAACACCAGAAACACAAAAGGGATCAAGAATATGGCCATTAGAGTGAGTTAGGACATTACTGAATTCCGATTAACGAAAATGATCAAGACATGAGAAAGAATATTGCTCCTGTAAGAGTATCTGTGACATTTTCCACATTTACAGCAGGTAAAATGAGTACACATACTGTATAAGAACACATAAAGAAAGCAAGGTGCAAAAAGGCAATACTTTTTCCTGTGTGATTTCTCATTCTTACACATAACTTAATTCACAAACATCTGTGATTTTATTTCTTTGTATGGGTGGAACACATGGGTTGGTACTGACATCTGGTGAGAATTTTATGTCAATAGCACCTTTAGAAATATATTTTTTTAGAAAATTGATGACATGTTCATTACTTATTTTACCCTCTGAATATTATTAACACCCAAAAAAATAGCAGTGTGGGGTAAATAAAGATGTTTATATCAATAAAGGCATGGTTTGGTGAACATCAGAATAGTTTCGGAGAAACTGAGACCCTCACTAACTTTTGATGTACACTATAAGCAGGCCTGTAATATGAAAGAAAGTGCTCAGTTCAAAAAAGTTTTAGGTTTTCAAGCGGTAAAGAGTCTAAGGTGGCACCATTTCAGCGTGAGAAATTTATTTTCACCATTTTACAGCGTGTGAAACAAAGCTTGCTTTGTCTGCGGTTCAGCATGTCATAACCACAGTGCCACTGGTTTTATTTGGTCTCACGCACTGCTACTTCACTGCTAGTTAAATGTAGCAGTAGTTATTGCCATTATTCCAGCATAGGCAGATCATTAAAAAAAAAGTCTTATGCACACAGAGGTTAAAGTGAAATTTCCACCATGCTCACTGTCTGCATTCTTTGTTTACTTTCTGCTGTGTAATAATAACATAAAACCAGACTTCTGTTAAGTGGAAGTCTTTTGGCTTAAACCACAGGCTGCATTTCCTCTTTTCTAGTTGGCCTAGCTGGAAACCGTGAGGTCTTTCGGTAAATAAAATGAGTTGCAGAATGAACAGCAACCAATAGCAGTCTTTTACATATACAAATTTACATGGAAGTCTGGCTCATTGGAAGCAACATATTCAAAAAAATAAGTGGCGACTCAAGACATTTGCAGAGTATTGTACATCTTGCATATTGTCTGATATCCACCACTGTAAAGGTCAACAATGGTACACATTGTACTGTAATCATATTAAACAGAAGTACAGAATCACTGCAGCCATTTGCGTTGAGACTGAACCTGTGCACTGAACTATTTGGAGAGCAGCTAAATGTAATGTGGAACAAACCATCATAATTGGAGTCTTTCCAGCCTTTTCTACATGAATTCTGTTTCAGAAAATGTGAGTCATTTCATAAGTTCCTAACTTTAAAGACTCACAACCAAGTCCTACCTTCATGAAACCAGTAATATAAAATATAAAAGAGCTTAAGCTAATCATTTATAGAAGCTGAAGCCATATCCATAAACCCCATCTTTGTGTGCTATTTTATTAGCAGTTTTCTGTACCAGTCACGCTACGTTTTGTTAAAAATAATTTTGCTCAGAGGAAATCTAACAAGTGGTTCCTGAATAAACGTGAACTGTGCCTGTCTGTGGAGCTACGTGAATGCAACCAGGGCAGGGTGTGTCTTGTCCCTGCCCCCAACATGTGCAAAGAACGCATTTTACACAGAGCGCTGACAAAAGGTAAGGTGACACTCCATAACAATCATTTACCTCAGAGCGCTCCCACAACCAGTCGTTAAATGGGAAGCAGCATTCTTGGCCTGTTTGTGTGTGTACGTGTACCTGGGGGGGATGGTGGCGGGTAAATGGGTGGGGTCAGTGTTTGAACCACGGCAGTTTACCTACCTACTCCTTATCTACAGAGAAAAGACTGCAGTAGATTTTCCCTTTATACATTTGTTGACCATATTGTCTTTTAGACGCTGGCAATGTCGACTGAAAAAAAGTGTAACACTACTGGCCTCTAAGAGGACTGCACACCATTATTTTTTTTTATATAAAATACAAAACACTAACTGGGTTAAACCAAATGGATAAAGATAAAGTGAAACTAGCTATTTATGTTTCAGAGGTGAAACTAGTCTGCCACTAAAACCACTCGGTAGAAAATGCAATTATATGAAGGTCGTCCTCACTGATCTGTTAATCATTCCTCAACACTCTCCACTCTAAGCTCATTTACCGAACAGGAGTGAACATTAAAAGTCCAAGCTTAAAACACTGGCCTTTACACTGTGTGAAGTTGCACCGAGTTTCTACACAACAACATTCCAGGAATTACTGCCCGAGACTCATCAATGACACTGCGTCTCATCCAGCTGCAGGACGAAAATAGGAATAGTGACTCACGGGTCACAGGAACGTTATCAGTTACGTAATAGCACAAAAGAAGTTTCACAGATACTAAATCCTGTTGTTTTACCATTTATTTAAGAAACTTAGTAACAATGTCAACTGTTCTCCCTTCATTTTTTTTTTTTTTTTTGTTTTGAATAAGCAAAAGCGTGATAAAAGGGCTTTAAAATGACAAAAATAAAACTTGCTGGATGCATGAATTGTGTGTGTATATAAAAAAAGCAAATTTATCTCATAAAAATCAATATATTCACAAGCTCTCTGAACAGGTTAATGTGTCTATAGTATAAATGTCATTCATATTAAATTACATTTCTATTGATATTCAAAGATAATCAGTCAAAACCACAGGAAGAAGCACATTAGTCCATTCAAAGCTCTGCATGTCAGTATGAAGCAGGTGTGGACCCGTAACACAGGCACTCATATACATTTCACATTTTAATGCCAAGCGGCTCAAATTATAAATAAGTTCATCTTTGGTTACCAGAGTCCATCTGGTATGTGGGGTTTTTTTTGTTTACAGTACTTACACTGTAAAAGCACAACCAGTCCTGGAATCAGAGTCTCTCCTTTTCTCACTAACAGGTGCTGCTCTGCGTGGTCCCAACATCCGACATGTATGATTTGCTCTTCTTGGAATATTTCATGGAACTGAAGGAAACTCTCATTTGCTCCACAGCCCTGCTGCTCCTACACAGCAGAGTGTTCTTCACATGGTTTCTGAAATCCTCAGACACAAAGTAGTAGATGAATGGGTCCAGGCAGCTGTTGAGACTTGCCAAGCACAAAGTAGAGATGTAGACGTTGTAACCATGATTTCCTATACTGTTCTTTTGTAAACCATAGTGCAACAGCAGCATGATGTTACTGGGAATAAAGCACACAAGGAAGGTCACCAGGACGATTACGATCAACACCACAACTTTGTGTCGGTTCTTTGATGCTGTACTTTCCTCCATGTTTGTCCCCAGAGCCTTCAGCAGCATAGCATAGGCTACAATGATCACTATGCAAGGGATTAGGAACATAACTGTTCCCATCATGATAAAGTAGATGAATGGCAACCTGATAGACTCGAATGGATTTTCTAGGTCCTTTATGACAGTCACATCATGACATGTGGTTACGTTGGGGTCTTTTAGCTTGGTCGTGTGGTCATACAGGTACAGAGGAGTGGTGGTGACCCAGATAAAAGCCCAGATAGCTACAGAGACACCAATGGCAATTTTATTATTCTTCCTCTGCTGAGAGAGCGGGTGAGCCACAACCCAGTACCTCTGCACGCTCAGGCAGGTGATGAACAGAATAGAGCAATACATGTTCCCATAGAAGAAGCTCACTAGGACTTTGCAGAGAGGCTCTCCATAGATCCAGTTGTTGCCGTTTATGTGGTAGTGTATTTTTAATGGAATCCAAATGACAAAGAGCAGGTCAGCCAGAGCCAGGTTGGCCATGTATATTGATGAAGGGTGCTTCTTTTTGGTCCTGAAGAGAAAGACCCAGATTGCCATGCCATTGGCCGGAAGTCCAACTGTAAATATGATGATGTAGACGATCGGGAAGAAGACTGTGGTGAGGCTACTCTTAAGCGTAGCTGATACTTCCTCATCCACAACAACTTGGTTTGAATTTTCAGGGTCCTCTTGTCCGATGAACAGCCGGCTTTTCTCTAAAACACATATACAAACGGAAATAAATATTACAGTTTAAATTACTGATTAACCAGCAGACAGAACACCAAAGACAGCTTATAATTTAAGCTGTTATTACAGACAAACTAAATTTGGGTTTAGTTCTGTTGGCTGAGCCAAACAAGTTATTTGAGGCATCACGATGGCCTCAGACAGGAGTCGTTTCATTACGTACAGAGACCTTTTGGTCTAAAGCATACATGACAATGATAAGGATCTATTAAAACCGTAAAAACGATCCTGTCTCAAGTATCTTCTTACGTTTTGAAAAGTAATTCTTTATTTCCAGAAAGCTTTCTCTTTTGTAAAGTTACTACAATCCCAGTTTAAAAAGAGCTCGGTTAAAATATTTGCTCTTTAGACACCCGGCTTTAGACCGTGACAATAACAACAAAACAAAACATGAGCCGAGCTCGGTATAACAGCACCCTGGCATTTCGAGACAGCGCAGGGATTTTGAACTTACTTGATGAGACGGAGCCGCAGCAGAAAATAACCAACAGCCACAGTAACCGTGTTGAACCCATGTTTCTATCACTGAGACTCTCTCGGTGCAAATTCTCCTTTTCTCGACCTCTTAACAGCCAGCTGAGTCTTAAATGTCCGACGACTTCTCCAACATTGAAGGACACACCCCGAGAGTACCTGTTCCTACGCTTGCGTCATGTCCAAACCCGCCCGCCCGGTCCGCCCTCAGGTGCATTTCCTGTTATGGGTTTCTGTGGAGCTCCGTTGATTCAGTGAGAACAAAACACGCAGTAAATAAACATGCCATATAAGTTACAGGCACCTTTACCACACATTATGAAGAATTATTTTATTATCATTTTTAAAATTCCGTTGTCAGTGGTAAGTGAAGGGTGGCTGAATTTTATTGATACTGAAGTAGAAACTCTTATTTCAAATCTGACATTAGTTTTTTGAGTGTTTATCGTTTAGAAAAAAAGAGAAAACATGGCCAGCAAACAGGCCTAAAGTCAAACACGTTAAGTTGACGAATTTTCTGTTGATTGATGCCTTAACTAGTCATTTGGTTTTATTTTCAGAGTTACAGAAACTACAGACCACCGCACAGCAGACAGGAAATATCAACACTGTAAATATATAAATGAACTGTAGGGAAAAGGTGGGTCTTAAGTATGTTTTTGTGTGGCTGAAATTATGATTTTGTGAATATACACTGTTTGTTTTTTAATATCATGCCATCAATCTTCCTATTGGTATCTAGCCATGTAAATAATTAGTTAAATTATATGAAAATAAGTGCAAAAGGGGCAAAACATGTAACTGTGTAAGTGATATGATCTGTCTCTCCTGTGAAGGTGTGCCGAATGCTGTCGTACATTCTGTACAATCCGAGCTTGTAGAAAGAAAGAAAAAAAAATAGTATGAACTCATAGTTTCCTTTGTGAGGGAAGACCCAAAATGAACCTCTGTAGTAATATATATATATATATATACAGTGTTGGGGAGTAACGGAATACATTCTGTACAATCCGAGCTTGTAGAAAGAAA